ATGGAAGGATTTTGTGGAGGTTCTAGTAAATGGGGGCCCCACAAATTCCAATAACTTGTGTTGGAGGAAATGGCCTAACCTACAGCAGGCGTGGACGTGGGAGAAGTGGTTGCTGTGCTAATTGGTGGTAGATAGAGGGGCATGAAAACAGTTCCTTTCTTTCTGACGAGTCGCTTGACCAGCTTTAGTCTGTTTACAGTTTAGCTGTTGCAGAAAGCCGTGTTTGCTCTTCTTGGATGTCACATCTCTGTGGTCCATCCCCTTAAATTATCTACTTTTTATTTAATCCAGAGTTGTTTCTGGTGGTAGATAAATAAGACAAGTGCTTTTTTCATTTTCTGCCTGTGGTTAAATTTAAGAGCTGATCGTGTTTTCTTCATGAACCAAACAATGCTGGGCAAGCTGTGCCTGTATTGAAGCTGGATAGAGCTTACAGCAGGTTTCATGGGTACAGCTAATCACAAAGGCTCGGGGAAGTGCTTTAATGTTGAAGCAAGGCCAGATTGTTTCAACCAAGAATCAGAAGTAATTGGTGGCATTTTGGCAAAGTGTGAGGGCTGTGTTTAAATCCTTACCTTTTAGGAAGACTTGTAGCATAAATCCTGTTTTCAAGCATCATCAGTTCAGCTGCCCCAAAGTGCTCCACAGTTAGTTTGTGATCTTTTCCAATATTGTCAACTGTTATGGTGGCAGCCAGTTAATCATCTCTTGTATTGACAGGACTCAGGGGAGGAACTGTTGCCACCAGCCAAAAGGACCAAGTTAGAAGACGTAACAGAGAATGTGAATAATGCTTATGCCAGTCAAGATGAAGTGAAAGAAAAGAGTGGGAATTTTTGTACACTGTTTGAAAAAGATGGTAACCTCTTCACATTTTCCAATTCTGTTCTGTTCATGCAGGAGCTGAACAAGTCTCTTTTGTTCTTCAAGCTACTGTGGGGTTTGTCTTGGAAGTTTCATTTCTTAACTTGCTCCCCAGGTCCTTCAAAAGCAGTAGTTTAACTGGAAAGGCCTCATGAGGGGGGAAACATTATGGATGATGAAGACCACAGCAGTAGTTCAATTCTGGATGCATGATAATCCAGTTATTGATACTATTGCAGTACTATGAGCATGGTACTGTCCTCTGCTGTGTGCTTCCTGTCCATCCCATCCTTCACAGTGAGGATGGTGCCATGACCATTGTGTCAGCCGTGGGAGAGCAGAGGAAGAGGAAGCAGAGTGTGTGTCCTTCCTCTTTGGCTCAGCAGGCTGCAATAGCAGAATTACCAGAGCTCAGTGGATCTTGGGGGAGTGCTAGTGCAGGCTGCCCCTCAGATTGGCAGGGTAACAGTGAAAAGAATGAAAATCTCGAGTAAGATGTGTACGTCAGTACCATCATCTTGCTTTGTAAATGCCTTTTTCTGGTGTTGCTGTAAGCAGCTTTGCTCTTGCCCTTTGCATGTCTTTCAATCAAGGGTGGTTTTTGTTTCCTCCACTTAGTTTGTTTTTCTTTCTCTCTATGACCATGCTTATTTCTTGCTGTACTGTGGTTTTTTTCTGGGATATGAGTTTTTAAAATTTTTTTTTCACTTGTGTCTGCTAGTCGGGATTTTGCTAGTCTACAGTGCAAAAAGTTAAAAATAGTCCCTTCTGCACTGTTAGGCCTCCTTTGTTGTGCAGTGATATCTTTCATAACAAAAAAACCCCAAACCAACCTACTTGTTCCTTTTGAGCTGCAGTAATAAAAACTGGCAGGTCATACTACTGCATCTTAGTAGTTACTGTGCAATTACCTGTGGGGTTTGTGATCTGGCACTTGGTCCAGGTCAAGTAACTGGTAAAACACTGCATTTCTAGCGTTTTTTACCTTTTCTGTCACAGGAAGAAAGTGCTGCTGGGGCTGTTAGCACAGTTAATTAATATGTAATAACTTGATGACATGTCTGAGTCCAGGATGAGCTTAATTATCAACAGAAATTTTATCAAGTTTAAATGCTTCTGTCAGCTTACTGATGGGGATGAGCAGCTGACAAGTTTGTGCCCGGTGAAGTCTTTATCTTTTAATGTTACTGACTGCATGACAGATGGAAGAAAATTGAGTTTGACTTTCAGACCAGGTTGTTTTCAGGATTAACAGAAAAATTATGCTTTTTAATATATTTTTATAGAAATAGTGATAATATATCATTATGCAAAAATTCCTTAAGTATTTTTATACTGACTTTCTTATTGGGAAGTTCTGTGGAACTTGTAGGTGCTTCAGGTTTGCTAATTTGGGGGAAGAAAGCAGGGAAGTAGTCTAGCTTTCCCTCCAAAATTATTGCTGAAAAATAGCTTTCTGGTCCTGCAGTATTAGATTGCCCAACAAAATTATATTTCTTTCCCCTTTTCAGGTTTTAATCCATTAAATGGAGAAATCCTGCTTTCAGAAGATAGGCATATCACTTGCTGCACAACTGGAAGTACATTACCAACAGCAGAGGAACATAATTCACTTGCTGATTCGGGAGTTAGCATCGCTGCTGAAAATTCAGGTACCTTCTCCCAGACTGTGGAAATGAGGATAGAGTATTCCCAGCCTGTGAACATACAGGGACCAGATATGGCAGGTGACGCATCCCTGGTGCACACTGAGGTCGTGCTGCCTGCTGAAGCAGATGGTTCACCAGAGCTGGTTCAAGGGCACTTTGTGAGCGAGAATGTGGTGGGTGGACTGGCAGCTCCGGAACTTTGCGGCTCCGTGTCGGAGCACGCAGTGGGCAGTCAGAGCACTGACTTGCCAACGAGTGAGGAAAATGGCCACAATCAAAAATATCAGGAACTGCAAGAAGAAAACCCTAATTTTGCAATTAAAGAACATTCTGAGCAATTTTGTAACGCTAACGCTGGTATGACTGACGAGATGCAGGAACTTGAAAAGGTTTTTTCAGCAAACGTTGTGCCAATAAACTACCCACACAGTGCTCAGGCTGAGTCGCACCCAAACGCTGTCCAGGGAGCCTCCCTGTCTGCTCATGTGAACCATGAAAATGCTTTTAAAAACCAGACTGACTACTCTTGTGGGACAGAGGAAGCACATGAGCTGGCGAATACAGTTACTGTAGATGAAACTGTAGCTTTTGAGATTTCCGATGAGAGCCATGATTTTTTGTCTCAGGGACACGAACAGATTTTTATTCAGACTTCAGATGGGCTTATCCTATCTCATCCAGACACTGCTGTTTTGTCTCGGGCAGAGGGCATCGTTATTGTAACTGATTCCAGCGGTACTACAATGCACATTCGTACGCCTGAGGGGATACCTTTGGAAACTGTGGAAGCACTACTGGCAATGGAAGCAGGTGGCCAAAGTGAAGATATTTTGCTCTCGCAAAGTGAATTGGAGCCATAAATTAGAAAAACCCTATAAGCTTTCTTCTGGAAAAGACTGATTATAAAATGTATATTTTTCTAATGTGAATACTGAGATAATTGAAATTTAACTTATTTGTAAACTGTTTCTATGCCCTGTACTTTTTATAACTTATGTTTATATAAATCTAGCAGCATTGCAACCAAAAATTCTAGAATTAACATTGTTCTATTTGCTTTATATGTTGGGGATGGGTGGAAAGTAGAAATCTGTCAACCCTAAAATTGTTGCACTGTTCCCTTTTGTTACCTAATTCCTTCTCTCTCTAGCCATCTAAAAATGCAGTAAGTTGTACTGCTGTTCAGCAGTGATGTGCTGTGTACAGGCAAGCTGTATATGGGTAAAATAAAAGCTATATTAAAAATGTGCATTTTCTGTGCCACTGAGATTACAAAACACTTTTTGGTATTGCAGTTTTTCGAGGCGTGAATATTCATTAGCATCTAGACTTGATGCACATAAATCTGCCTGGAAAAATGGGCAGTTTTAAGTATAATCCACAGTTGGGCATTACAGGAACAATGTGACAGCCTAGCTGATCCTTACTGAAATAACCATCCACAGAGTTAGTGACAGAAATAGCCTCAAACAAGATCCGATTTGTACTGAACTGCTGGAAATGTATTTAAGTTTTGTGTAATGTTCATCCACACCTTTAAAAATTGCTGTTACTTAGACAAAAATGGGAAGGTGCATAAGTAGTGATCTGATTTTCCTTAATGAGGTACCAAATTCTCTTTTGCTTTAGTCTGCGATGGCCTATTTTTGTGAGACTGGTATTACACGTTTTTCTTTCACATGATGGATCCTTTATCAGTTCTACCCTTTGACCTTCCTAGTAATTTCACACTGCCTTGCACTGTTTAATCATAATACAAAGGTATCCTTGACTATAATCCCTGTTTCTCTAGGCAGGGAGAAAACTTGGCAAATCACTTAGCAATGGCTATCTCGTATTTTTGTCACACTTTCAATACAATCCTTAGATAATATATTTTTGCGGAGACCTCCCAACAGCTTCTTGTCCAAGGCACCGTCTTGTCTTCCAAGAAGTTTTAACAGGTGAAAAGGAACAGTGTCGAATGAGTAGACATTACTGTACATTGGTAACATATCCTTAAAATGTGTGTGTCACCTCATTACTAAATAAAGGAGGCTACTGAGATAACTGGACAAATCCACTAAGGGCCTTGATCTGCAGGAGAGCTGTTTTGTTGATAAATCAAATATGAACACAGTTTTTTTCATGGTATTGTTACTGAAGAACACCACAAAAAATTGAATCTAAACAGGAGAGAGAACAATTTAGAGGTGAAAGAATCTGCTCTATGTCCCTTTAACATAGTTGGGTTTGGTTTTATTTGTTTGGTTGGGTTTTTTCTTGGTTGCCTAAGTAGAAGATGAATTTGATTAGTCAAAGCACTGCCTTTTAGGTGTGGTTGTGAAAGATGCTCTGTATTAATGAGCTCCTGTCTGGTGGTTGGGTTTATGGTGTAGTATTTGATTTGGGTTTTTCCCCCTCTTGGTTTTATTAGGAGGTGGTAATGGCCAGAGGATGCAGACCTACCCTGTAAGTGAAGGTAGCATATAAAGCAAGATTCTGCTGGTCTTTCAAAGTCTCTGATTGCAGTGAGCAATTCTTTATTACACTCTTTTGTACTGGCTGTCTAATCACTACATCTGAGGGCTTCAAATATAACAATCAACTGCTTAGAGCTATTATGACAAAACATCTCTGCAATGATTTTTCAGTAATCTTCCCATGTCTGACAGCAATCAATAAGCAAGGGGGTCTGTGAATACGAAGACCCCTTCTTGAAGAACTTATTTCCTCTAAGAAACAAGAGCAAACCACAATTTCCACCTGTGCAGAAAATGAATATTTGCTTCAATTCTGTCTTCTCTATTGATTCGCACATGCTGGGAAATACAATACACACCTACTCCCATCTTAAAAGAACAATCCTATATGTGGACCAATCTTTTCTCCTTGGAAAATATTTTTGAAGTATGAAGGTGTTTCCATAGTGACACGGGTCTGGCCCTACTCAGATAAATTAAAGTGGCTGTTAAACTAAGTGGAACACTTGCACTGAAAAATAATAAAACCCAACAAAGCTGTTCCTAACTGATTGTATTCTCCTTGAGCTACAGCAGAATTGCTTTTTAGACACTAGAAATTTGGGCTAAGAATAGAACTCTATTAGCTGTCAGAAACAACCTCTTTCAACACAGCAACATGTTGAGAAAACTTTACCAATTCATGTCTGTCTGTTCTGTTACTGCAGCAAACTTATCAAGCTTATGAGGTTTCAGCTTAGAGCCAGTTAAGTAAGTGATGCTGCTTTTCCTATCAGTACAGAGAGGCAAACAAAAACCACTTGATATCAGTAGCAGCAATCCAAGGAAAAACTCACAGAGCCCTATGAGGTGGAGGAAACAATATAGGATACAGCCCTGACTGAGGGAGGTCTTCTTTTTATTGAATAGATGCTTTCATGAAACATCTCTAAGAGAAAAAAGTTAAAATTATTAAGAGACATTTTTATATGACTGTGGAATACTGAGTTGTACTAAACCTTCCCAGTGTGGTAGTTCAGGCTTGGATCACTCTTGAAGGGTGATGCACCTAACACCACCAGACTCAAAACCAAACCAGAATTTACACTATTGTCTAAAACTGCATTTCAGAATCACATACCAAACTATGTGGATTCTTTTGGATCCTGCCTTTTTTTGCTTTCCTCTTCTCCACTTACGAAGCCAGTACAAAAGCACTCGTCCTGTTAAATCATGCAAAAGACCCCCCAAGAAAGATCATGAAGTGCTGAAATTCTATGGGCAAAGGGACCGTGAAGGTACTTCAGATTGTCAAGACTTGGAAAGAAGTAACATTCTTTGCTGTAGCTGTCTATGTGCTTACTTCTTCCTGATTATAGGGGACTTAGCCTCCTACCTGTATCCTCTCTACTGCTCTTAAAATGGATAAAACAACCAAAACCAGATTGTCCCATGCAGAAACAGGAGTATCAGCTAAGACAAAATAATAAATACAAACAGAGAAAAATTTTTTTAATAAGTTTTACAAAAATTCAACTTACGTGGTAAGCCTTGCAATTTGCCATTTCAGTTTCATGTAAGCATCGTTAGAAGCCAGCCATGTAACCTCTGGAATTCTAGCACTTTCTGTGTCCTGTCTCCAGCAGCATGGCTTCAAGTAGCAGTGTGCTGCTGTTCTCAATGTAAGGCTGGTATAACCACGATGATAAATACACCATCAGCAGATCCTGGTCAGCAGAATGAGCAATGTCTTGTACAATTGCTTGCTTGAGTTGTAGTTCCTTCTTGTACATTTCAGAGAGCTTCAGAGAGACCTCATCTGGAATGGATTAAAAAAACAAGCATATTGACCAGAACATACCAGCAATTCTCTACAAGTTAAATTATACTTGAAATATGTGGATCATTAAAAAATCCACCTACCTTACATAAGCTATTGCCCAAATATAGACACCTTCTTTTTTAGAGCATTAATCATGTTTTTACATTAGAATATCAAATGCTAAACAATTTCCTCAGCTTTGGGATATATTTTACACACATCTGATTTTGACATGAGTCCCCATTTAATTCTAGAATAAGCAGTGGTATTGGTTCTCAGAACCCACCAGAAAATTAGCAATTAGAATCAATAATTATCAATTATAGCTATTCCTCAAATAACTGAAATTTGATTTTAAAATCTGGTAATGCTATCCTGCAATACAAGCTTCACATTTTAGAGTCCCTATTGATTTTAGCTAAACTAAAGAATGCCCCCACATGCTGTCAGGCACTTCAGCAATGCACGGTCACTGATGAGTGATATCAATAATGAAAAACAACAGCAAAAACCCCAACAGGCCAAAACTGAAGTAATGTAAAAACTAATACTGTTACTAGCTATGTTAGTAATACTGGCAGGGGGATTAAATGCATCTGTATAATAATCTTTAATTGTCTGACTTCCTAAAGAATAACCATACAAATTATTTTTAAAGAGAGACTGATCCTGTGTTTCTAACTTAGCCTGAACTATCACTGCCTTCAGAAGGTTTTAGTCTTTCATGCAGTAGACAGCATCACTAAATGATTCAGTCACAATGGGTGTTTTGATAGCAGTTGTCTTTGTCATTCTTACCCTTTTAAGCTGGCAGAACCTAATATATAAGATTCCTGCTAAATTGTGGTAGTGAAGAAGCAGGGCTTCACATGACTTTCACTTCACAAAGAAGGCATTTGGTTTGCATGCAATCAGGCTTCTCTTGAATTCAGACAGTCTTAAAACTGGGGTAATACCACTTGGGAGGCAGTACCTTTTGCCATCAAGTGAATGCTAAAAGAATTAACAATAGACAGTAACATTTCTTTACTTGTCTTGACTGACACTGAGATCAGAGGTATTTTTCTTTGGCTGCCTGCAGAATTAACTGAGGTATAGCTTGCTCTTTGCATTCAAGGACTTAATTTCAGTGTCAAGCAGCTAAGCCTACAGCTTAACACCACCAAGTTGCACATAAGTCTCTCCCTTCAGAGGACGTGGCTGTTGCAGCTTGGCCACTGTAAGCTGCTGACAAGCTTAGTTCTGTGCTGTAACTGTTGCATGTCAGACAATGTCTGGCACTTCACACAAGCAGGGATCAGCAGTAACCCTAAGCCAAGTGGTGCATTCACGTGTTTATTGATTAGTCAATTGTAAAGGAGACACACACCCTCTCTCAGGCAAGACATCCAGATAAAAGGGTTTACTTTTCAGTCTTAAATTAGATGACATCAAAGACACAATGTAATTAGCTAAGATAATCAATATTTTACTTACAGAAGTATGATGTGGGCCATGTATGAAAGAAGGGTGCTGTGCAATTCCCAGCTCCCTGGTGGAATGCTTCCAAGTCACAGATTGCTTTAGTAGTCAAAGTCAGCTTTTCCATTTTCAGTTGTATTTTTGTCTGAAAAAATGATGAATGTGTAATCTTGATGAACATCTCAGGAACATCAGGCTACTATAATCTCAAGGATTTTTTTTAAACACGCTATTTATGAAGGCTATTTAGTCTTAGCATTTCTAAATCACATTTTTTTAACTCCAGAGAGACATGACACCTGGAATCTATATATTTAATATGAGATATCTTGAAATTTTGAACACTGCAGATATGACTGATTTTGCACATTCTTTTGTTTCCCTCATGTAGAAATATACTAAAGCTCTCTGTCATTTTTTCTCTCTCTAGGTTTTTCCTATAGCAATTTAGCACTGGGGAAAAACATCAAACAAGTGTAGCACAAGCCCTATCAACACAGGTTTTCTTACATTACCATGTAAAAATGTCTTAAATTTGATTTCAAAAGATCAGCAGCAGGTGAGAAAAGCAGCTCAAGCTACTACTGACAAGGTATCTAGGCTGATCTAACAGCCTGCTTCAAAAAACAGGTCATTCCATCCACTTGCTTCATGTTCACCTGACTTTGTGCATTGCTGATGGGGATGAATATTTACAACAAAATGGAGCTTGCAGGCAGTATCTCTAAGTCCAGCAGTTAAAACAGAGATATTTCTACAAACTCATAAGCTGGTATAAACTCATAAGGAATGAAAAATAAAATAGGTCATTGTAGTTATGTTTAGTATGCTTAGACTCGTATTACTCAGGAATAGTAAAAAATTGAATCAACACACTTGATAGTCTGAATACAAAACTACCTCAAGGGAAAAAGAACCCAATGAAAAAACACACAAATTACTGTTACTTTTTCCCCCAGCACAAAATTTGAGGGAAATCTAGCTCGTTTCCTGCTTTTTCTAAATACTGGATGACTGGTATCCTGCCTGTGTTAATGGGCCTCCACTTTGGCAGAAGGCTGTAAAAGTTATTTTTAATATGACTTTTAAATTACATTTTCAGGTAGAAAAATATGGTTTTCTTCTTGTCAAACTGACAGGTGACATCAATTCCTAGCAATGTATCCAGAAAAAAAAGGGTTACATAATAATTATCTTACTCCACTCTCTAGAGAAGGAGATCTGCACAGCAAATGCAGGTAGGCAGACTAAAAATATAACTGCTTTATGTCTGATCAAAGACAGCTGCAAGGATATGATGGCAGGTAAAGCATTACTTTATGCTTTGTTGTTTCTTTTGTTCTAAACAGAGAGAATATCCAGGATGAGAGAACATGTGCAGTTTTAGAATGCATTCTTTGTACAACTTATTTCCAGATCACTTTATAAAGGGAGGAGTAGAATTATAAACAGAAGGCAGATTGAAAACCAACTTTCAAATTTACCAAGCAAGCAAATAAATGGTGCATGCTGGATTTATAATCATTTAGGTTTGAAGCCAAAGAACTATGAAAGAAACCCCCAATTTTCTGTCTACAATAAATACTTGAGAACATTTCCTTCTGTCATATTTGAGCACACTTGGAATTGATCCATATTGACTAAGATTGGAAAATGAGCGTTACCATCTGCTTTAAGGTCTCGAGTAATTCTGCACAGCAATTGTCCAGTTCTTCGTTGTATCTTGGGGTTGGCTTTTCAGGTTCTGTGACACTGTTATCACATGCTATCTCCAGTTTTCTGTCTTGAAATCTAAAATAGAAACATAAGGCAGAGTAAACAACTGCATATAGGTTTACTTGAGCTGTGCAGATTTAAAATCCATGTGGCCTGATCCTACAAAATCTCTCTCTCACAGACTGTTCATGAGAATACCTACATAAAAATTGCACAACACATAGCTGGCCATGGGAACAAATACAACGACACCATAATCCTCAATAGAAACACAGAACTATCTCAGAGCACGTGCTTGAAAACAGTGTGCTTGCAGGTGTTAAGATAACACTTTTTCCCTCTGCCCCTGTGTTGGAGGTTGTTCTCCCATAATGGAAAAGGTTTGCCCAGGCTTCATCTGCTCTGGATGACAACCTGGTGCCTCACCACAAACTCATATTTGTGCACAATTTAAGCCAAGACATTTATCTGTGAACCCAGAGCAGCCAATGTACAGACACCTACCCTGCCTGGCAGACTTTAGAGGGAGCTGCTAGAGAGCAAAAGCAACATCTGGCACCATTACAGCAAAATACTCCTCAGCTTGTACCTGTCAGAACCTTGTCAGACAAACCCCCTTCAGCTGTCAGGACTCTGAAGAAGCTTCTTCTCACAACCCTCTTAATTAGGTTTTTCTTCACAGCATGAAAATAATAGCTCTACCAAAGCGGGGTGGGGTTTTTTTTTAAGTCTTTCACTTTTTTTTATTGTTTTGTTGGTTTTTAGTTTGGGGGGTTTATGTATTGTGGTGGTGTGGTTTTTTTGTCTGTTGGGGTTTTTTTAAGTCATTACTGTTAAAACCTTTTTGTCTGTACAAATCACTGATTCTTTCTTCAAATCTGTTGAACTTTTCACTTGAGTGAAACTTGTGTAAAATATGTAAGAGAGTAAGGGAACTCACATGGGTGAGATTTATAGATTTGTGGATTATATAAGTATTTTAAATATCTGTTATGTTTGACTATGTAAAAGAAATTTTTCCATTTCTTGCAAATGACATTACTTTATGAGATTATTTTAATCTTTATGAGACATTTATTATTTGAATATAAATAGTTTATGTAACCAAAAAGTGCAGCTGCTGAGTTTGATCTAAGAGCTAGCTTATCCACTGTGGCATGTTTTCTCCCCTGTCTCCAAAAAGAACTTTTTAGTGAAGAAAACAGATTAATCTCACAATAAAGGCAATCTTTACGCTGTCTTTATTCCTGTGTATTAGCATACTTACTGCTCACTGATCTTCATGTTGACTATTTTGTTTGCCGTAGTAAATCCATTATCATTCAGTCTCTCCCATTTCATCATTAAATTATGCCAGTCTGCTGCATTATCTTTAATTTTTCTTGCACCGACAGATAAAACAGGCCTTCTTGGAGTACTATCAGCAGGACTTTTTGCTGTATGAGAAAATAAAGATATTGAAGCCATTTAAAGCATACAGAAATAAATCAGTGTCTATCAGCAGTTTGTGTGAATGATTTCCGTGCTCTACTGGAGAATATTGATTAAAGTAAAATGGAATTTACATTAACTGTCTCTGGTCATGAAACTTAATTCCTCATCTATCAGCCTTATTACTATTTATAAGAAAACAGGGTTATTTAAAGAACACAAGCACATTCTGCATGTGATATTGCAGCACGGACAGCAGCAGCTTTGCAGTGCTGACTAATCTAGCAGTCTTCTGACAGTCAAATACTAATGCAGTATAGGAAATCATGGCAACAATTACTGCATCCATCCAGTGCTCATGCCATGAAGGTATGAATTAATTCACAGCAATGCATGAGCTGGAAGAGTTTGGGGGAAGGCTGAGTCTTACTGCAGACGGTGGGCACTTTACTGCTTGAGCACAAAGCCCACATCTCACGATGTCTCCCTGGAGGCCCAGAGAGCAACAGGAACCTGCAGCACATCCCTCTGAGCACACGAAGCAGCCCCACCTTCACACAGCAGCCAAAACAGGGCTCCAAGCCAAGCAATAACACCCTGCCTGCTCGTTTGCTGGCTTTAACTTAAATCCACAGAGATGCCCGAAAAGTGGTCACAGATGTGAAGGCCACACATAATCATAGAATGGGTCGGGCTGGAAGGGACCACAGTGGGTCATCTGGTCCCACCTCCCTGCTGAAGCAGGGTCATCCCAGAGCACAAGGCACAGGATTGCGTCCAGATGGTTCTTGGATATCTCCAGTGAGGGAGACCCCACACCCTCTGTGGTCAATCTATCCCAGTGCTCGGTCACTGCACAGTAAAGTTCTTCCTCATATTCAGATGGAGCTTCCTGTGCATCAGTGTCTGCCCGCTGCCTCTTGTGCTATTGCTCGGCACCACTGAGCAGAGCCCTGCTCCATGCTCTTGGCACTCCCCCTTCAGATATTTATACACACTGATGAGGTAACACACATGGTGCGACACGGGGGTCCCCCGCTCCTCCCGGGGCACCGCCCACACCCGGGCGTGACAGCGACAGCCCGCCGGGCTGGCGGGGCACCACGGGCACATTAAACCTCGTTAGTTCACCGAGGAACCACCAGGACCCGCCTCTAGCTGCTCCCTCCTCTCCCTCCCGCTCCCTCCCGCACTCACCCGCCATGGCGGCCCCGCCGCCCGCGGAAGTTCGCTCACGTCCGGCCCCGCCCAGCCCGGCCCCGCCGAGCGGCGCAGCCACTGGGGCCGCCGCCGCTCCGCCGCCTCGGGGCCCGGGCAGCGCCGCTCCCGCCGCCCCTCCGTGACGGGCCGCCCCGCGCTCCGGAGCGGTAAGTGCAGCCGAGCCTGGCGGGACGGCCGGGGGGCTGCCCGGCTCTCGCTGCCCGCCCCGGGCGCCGCCAGCGGGGCCTGCCGCGGCCGCCTGTTGCGGGCGGTGCTCCCGGCCGGCGCCCGGGGCTCGGGCAGCGCCGGGTGAGGGGGCTCGGGGCGGGGGCTCGGCGGCTGTTCCCGCTGCTGGAGGGGCTGTGCCGCCCTCCCCATCCCGGAGCGCTGGGTCTGGGCGGTAAATCCGGCATAAGCCGCGGTAAAGCCGGCGGGAAGGCGAAGCGGCCCCGCGGGTGTCCGGCCGGGAGCCCCCGGCTCTGTCCCTGTCTCCTGGCAGGAGCTGCGGCCCCGCAGGGGGCGAGGAGGCACCTGTTGGAAAGGAGTGGTTTGGAACATCTGTCGGAATATAGTCGTGCGTCTAAGGAAGGGAGGTTAAGATAAAGTGTAATAATGGCTTCAAACTGAAAGAGGGCAGGCATATATATTAGGTATATAGTAGATATTAGGTGTATCTGTGGTATTAAGAATATGGATATATGTATGATGTTGGGAAGAAATTCTTTACTGCGAGGGTGGAACGGGTTGCCCAGCGAAGCTGTGGATGCCATCCCTTGAAGGGTTCACAGCCAGCTTGGATGGGGCTTTGAACAACCTGGTCCTAGTGGAAGGTGTCCCTTCCACTGGATGATCTTTTAAGGTCCCTTCCAACCCAAACCTTCTAGGATTCTATGAAGGATTCCTAGGGAAGATGGATGTACTCATCAGCATGAGTACAGCCAGGCTTCCCTGGCTCCTCTTGGCATACTGGGATGCAAAGTGACACCGGATTCTACTTCTTCTGTCCTTTCCATCTCTTTTGTTTGGATTTGTTCGTTGGTTCTACAGTCTATTTTTTATTATTTCAAAGAGAAAACAAACAAACCTCATTTGAGCCAAAAATTCATGAGCTGTGTAAAGCAAAGTGTGTGTTAATCAGGTAACCGTGACCTGTGTGCTGCTGGTCATTTGCCTGAGGACAGGACACAAGAAATCAGAGCTCCTTCGGGGGGGGTGGTGTATTTGTGTTCTCCCCTCTGCTTGGCAGCAGTTTGCTGTGAAAAGTTCTGGTAATTTGGCAGTCAGGTACCCTGCTCTGGAGCTAAAGGTGTGAGAAATATTAGAAAAGAAAACAGCTTTCCTCTTTAGTTGGCAGGATCTAGTTGAGAACAGAGGCTGTTGTGTTTAGCTCTGGTCATAGATATGAGTTTGTCTATGCTCTGAAGAACTTAAATGTAAGTTTTTATGCCAAAGATTAAAAAAAAACCAAACGGAGCTGTTGTCCCTCTTGTACAAACAGGACACTTGGGCTCAGAGAAATGCAGTGACAGCTTTAGCTTCCCGCAGTCCATCTGTGGCATACCCTGGCACTGAACCTTTAACCACTGCCTGTCTGCTGAACCAGGGGATTATCTCTCGCTTTAGTTGCCTCTGTTAGGCAGCACTGAACCTTATTCCTGTTTCTGAGACAAGAGAAAATAAAATAAAAAAGTCTGCTTTTCAGAACATAGCCTTGAATGCAGTATTTGAAAGCGTGTTGTGAACTTTGTGAAATGAGAAGGAAGGACTGTCTGCCTGGTGATTGTTTTTGATGTGGTATTTTTCTCCACTTTATCTCTGCTGCAGGACAGCTGCTTAGCACAAGCTGATTTGCCCTATACGGCTGTTATGTACTTCAGAATAACTGTGGCTGAGTGAACAGAGGGAATACACATCCAATTCCACAATCTGCCTGAGAAAATAGTTTATATCCCCTGTTTGCCTTGGATTAATGAGGTAGGAAAAACAGATACCAATTAATCCTAAAACTGTTAATAAAAAGGAAGAGAGTACATGTGATGCACAACTGTCATTAGAGGATATTGAAGACTTTAGAATCAAAAGCAGAGAATTGTGGCATTTGTGCAGGTGTTTTGAATGTGTAGGCCACATGGGAAATTTTCTAGTCCCTTGTACATTTGTTTTGTATAGATAAAATTACTTAATTACTAGTATTTTTAGTAAAGTTTGAGCTTTTAGTTACATGTTTTACACAAGCAGTGCAAGTGTTCTGTTAGTCTGTAAAAACACTCAAGATGAAACTAATTTGTGTATGATGGCAAGAAATTATAGTTTATGAATAAATTTTTACATTTTTTGATTTTACAGGGTGAACGAATTATAGAGAAAAAAAGTGAATTTAATTTTATTACAATTTTGTCATCAGAGAATATTGAAATAAGATTGTATATTATATGAAGAGTGAGAACCCTAACCTAACAGCAGTTTTTAAACTTAACTTAGTATGTGACAAGAAATAATTTCTCCCCTTGTTTTCTGTGGGTGGGAAGGAAAACCCTACCAAATTTTCCCTTTTTTTTAATCTTTTTTTTTTTAAATTTAATGTAAACTTACAAAACATGCATCAGGTTGCAGATAGAGTTGTTGTAGAGGAAAGAGTAATAGTCTTTTTCTTGATAGTACAAATGTGCATATTTCCGTAGTTTGTAATGAATTACAAAGTTTTTAATGGTTTAGCTGAGCTGGAATGGGAAGTGATGGAAACAGAGAGAATAAATTCTGAAGATTTGGAAGGTCCTTTGGCAACTGGGGAGTATGAGGTGGTTCCAGCTACAAGAGCAGCTTCAGATGCTGATGGATGTGAATTGTAGGGGTCACGAAGGGGACTTGAAAAACAAAATACATGAAATTCATGAGACAGTAGCTGGGTAGTGGTGGAAGTTGGACTAGACAGAGGCAGATTTGTACATGTGAGACTCAGGACTGGATTTTATTCTATCAGAAAAAAAGGAAAAAAAAGAATAAAAGACCATGAGCTAGCAAAATTACTTAACTTGCAAAACAACCTATTTAGAACAGCAAATGGGAGACTTTAGCAGTGGGTTCTCTTTTTATTTAGTTGACTGTTGATAGAAAGTAGTAAGTGCTGAACGAACAGGCAGGAAACCTAAAGTAGTGCATGGAAAATAGATGCTGTGTGAAAACATTGTGAAAGAGTTGTGATGCACTGGGGTTATCTGTTAACCTAGAAAACATCTCTGAAAGGAGCTCTTCATTCAGAAATACTTTGGACGCATAAATCAGCAAATCTTTGTGATATTTTTGAAATAGGTGTTGTGAGAGGTTAGTAAACACTGAAGGGGAGTCGAATTGATTTTTAAGCTCTAGCAAGCAGTAAAATTTATCACAATTAAGAGCATCTAATAACTGGTGCTAGCTTAGTTACTGGCTTAGTTATCAGTTTTTGTAACAGATAAAATATGAGCCCAGTAACCAGTCTTTATTCCTGCAGTCTTGTCTGACGTGGGCTTGCATGGGTAATGTCACGCAAACAATCCCTTTGGATTTAGTGGAATTGTATGTTGATAGCAAAGGCCCAAAGTGAGTGTGCTGAATCCTCTTGCACAATAACTGAAATAGTTTGAAAATTGAGACATCTGAGCTTTTCGCAGTAATGGAGATATGAAACCAGAGCAGCTATTTTTTTTTTTTCTAATTTTGTTGATATACACTGTAAGCAATGTGTGAAACTGCCAAACAAATGCCATTTTCCATTCTTAGAGAACTTAAAACTAGGCACAATGGGACATATCACAAATTACAGTAGGGATACTTCATGGAATAATTTTAAGTATTTAGAAGCATTTCTAGTGTCAATTGGTAGACTTCTGTTTTTCATTTCTCTAAGGAAGTTATAAGTTTGCTGAAGCTAATGAAAATCTTCAATGTTAAGACTGTAAACAACCATAAAAAGCTTTTGTCTGTACAGAAATTCAAAATTCTTGTCTTGGAAAACTGCAGGTATTTTTGGCAGATTCTAAACAATTCTGTTGATTGGTCTTGCTCATAGCAAAATAAAATTCTAGAAGTGAAGGTTTCTTTTCTTTTCCGTATTTCAAAGTCATCCATGAGGAGAACTGCTGCAAAATGTTCTTGTCAGGGTTGTTGCAATGAGAAAAATTCTGGGTTTAAATAAATATTTTGAATATTTTTAAGTTTGTCATGGTCATAGCAGCTTTTTCTGAAGAAACCAGTGTGTTATTACTGTGATGAGCGATGGCTAAGGTTTTTTTTTCCTCAAGGAAGGTAAACAGACTCTTTGTTTCCATTATTCTTAGATATTGTCCTCTAAGTATATTTACAGTGTCGCTCACAAGCATGAAATTATTTGCTTATCCATAAAAGAAAACATGGGTGTATGGTACTTCTTTTTCTGTTTGCTCCTTATCTTTGTAAATACAGTTGCTACATGGATATTTTCCTGGGTCTGTCAAAATGGGATTTCTTCAATTTTTGCTTTGCCCCTCTCCTACCACATTATTTTTATGTTTTGGTTATTATTTGATTATATAGCTGATGTAGCTTTAGGTGAATTGTTTCTCAGCCATGTTTTTTTCTTGGGCTGTGGGGCCTTAAGGAGTGGAGCACAAATACTAGTTTGCTGCTTTGATCTTGCAGCACTGTGTGACACAGTCAATGTCCCATGCTCTTGACACTGGATTGAGGGTAGAGGTTGCAAATAGATGAAGAAATATATCGCGTGGGTTGTTCTGTGTCAGAGGCCTTGTGGTTCTTTCACTAGGCAGAGGAGAAGAAATACTGCATTGGAACTCAACTTTGAAAAGCTTACAGCTGCTAGAAAAAGTGGTTATCCCATATTTAGTGGTTACCAGGCATCCTTAGATGTTCTGAGAAATACACTTAATTGTTAAGAAGAAAGTTCTTCTAAGAATAACTACATTCACTACAAGAGTTTAGCTTGCTTTTCCTTTATAAAAAGCAAAAAGTGAGAATTTTTTAGTCCCTACTTACTAAAAATGGTGGCTCTCTGTTAACCTTTGACTCTCTTCAAACAAGTAAACGACATGTATTTTGCTTTTGCCTTTCAGATTTCCTTATGTGGTCGA